ACACCGTAAATTACAGACCGCACCTGATTAAGAGCCGCATGCTCAGATTTATGAAGAAAAATCAATTGTAATTATATACGCCGCACCGTACTATAAAACGCTGGCCAATGAGTAGGCGGGGGTTTGCTTCTGCGTCCCTGCCGCCGGGAGCCTCCGGGTTAGGCTGCTGACGCGGTCCCCCACAGAAAAAAAACGCAACATTTCTTAAGGTTAAAATAATCTCCATATTTTTAAGAGCATGATAAATGCATTTGCACAACGAAATTACGCTGAAACACATAATAAGAGGCCAGACAAAGAGAGATCTCGCCGCTGAACCCCCGCAGAAAAAAAACGCAACATTTCTTAAGGTTAAACTAATGTCCATATTTTTTTGAGCATGATAAATGCATTTGCACAACGAAATTACGCTGAAACACATAACAAGAGGCCAGACAAAGAGAGATCTCGCCGCTGAACCCCCGCAGAAAAAAAACGCAACATTTCTTAAGGTTAAACTAATGTCCATATTTTTTTGAGCATGATAAATGCATTTGCACAACGAAATTACGCTGAAACACATAACAAGAGGCCAGACAAAGAGAGATCTCGCCGCTGAACCCCCGCAGAAAAAAAACGCAACATTTCTTAAGGTTAAACTAATGTCCATATTTTTTTGAGCATGATAAATGCATTTGCACAACGAAATTACGCTGAAACACATAACAAGAGGCCAGACAAAGAGAGATCTCGCCGCTGAACCCCCGCAGAAAAAAAACGCAACATTTCTTAAGGTTAAACTAATGTCCATATTTTTTTGTTACACTGGCTCAGTTCTTCTTGCCGGAGCCTCCACCTTCGCACCATCGAATCGTCTCTGCCAAGATGAGGCCAAACAAAAAAGATAGTGTGTTTCCAGTAACAATAAATTTCAGCATCGGGTCGGTAGGTCGGAAAAAGTTTTTTTTTGTTTAATCTTTTTTTCCCCCCCCCATCAAAAATTTAAACAAAATAACCATAAAACAAGAAGATATTGAACCTGCCACTGCGCGGCCGGCGCCTCCGATTTAGTTTTCTCCCGGCTCCGGACTTGGGGGGCCGGGGCGCGCCGCCGCCTCCTCCGTCCTCCTCCGCCGTCCTCATCACACCCACTC